AAACCTATTTGGTGCAGCTTGAGGCCATTACCTTTTGTCCTATCGCTTGTTACCTGGGAAAAGAGACTGACCCCCACCTCTCTACAACATCCTTTTCAGGAAATTGTAGAAAGCTATAAGGTTCCCCCCAAGCCTTCTCTTCTCCAAACTAAAAAACCCCAGTTCCCTCAGCCGTTCTTCATAAGACTTGGGTTTAGGCCCTTCACCAGCTCTGTTGCCCTTTCCTGGACCCACTCCAGTACCTCAATGTCTCTTGTAGTGAGTGGCCCAGAACTGAACACAGTATTCGAGGTGCAGCCTCACAAGATTATCTCTGTTATTATCAGACCTTTTTCACTTTTAGCTCTGTTCAAAATATACTTCTAAAGTTTAAGTTTATGACTTCTGCTTTATGTTTCAAGAAGAGATGAACTGGCAGTGTACAGCTTAGCAGCATGACATGGGAAGGATAGGGTGAAAGCCAGCAACCATCAGAAGCACAGAAACACCAAGAAAGATGATAAATTAATTGAAGTGGCATAAAAGGAACATTAAAAAAAAACCTGCAAATGGGAAATTTTACACCAAAGAATGTTATTTCTTGAGGACAAAGTCATGATATTTGACTGTGGCAAATTCCTAAAGGAAACAGTGGCCTGTTTCGAGGAACTGCAGAATCAGAAAGAGCACATAGATCATGAAGAAGATGTTGGGATACAGCATGGCCAAGAAAATGGACAGACAAATGTACCTGTCTCCATCTCTAAAACTGAGATCTCACTATAAAGCACTTTTATCATTAAGAAAGAAGCAGTTTGCAAAGACTGAAACAGACTGCAGCTTAAATATCTCTGCAAATTAAGACACTTTGTAGGAAAAACACCAGTCAAATGTAGTGTTTATTCTAAGCACTTTACTGCCTCAGACTCATTAATCTGGTACCTTACAGGCTCTCTTTGTAATGTAAATTTGCTAAAATACTATGTTTTACATAAAACATTCATATAGACAAGCTCACACTGCTCAAACACCAATTGTAAGTGGACCAAAAATACACTAAATTTTCTTAATACTTGAGCTCTGAATCTCAGTCTTATCTGCATAAGCAGTTTGTGAGAAACATTCTGCTGCTGCTGCAGCCACTGCAGCACAAAGGTTCAAGATTTCCAAAGTAGCTGATGTAAGCTATTATAAACTGAATTACCACATGCAAAAGCCAAAAGAAAAGACTTTACATAAGGTACCTAGAGCAGAGGTTTTGAGGAAGAGAAATCATTACAGAGAGGAGAGGAGATACCTTGCATTTAAGGAGGCCAAACATTGCACATACTGCACCTGCTTGCAGAGGTCCTATTTAACAGCCACCTGCTCAACACACGGCGTATTGCCATGAGGGTTTGCTGGGAATCCTCACCACGCAGAACCAGGCATGCTACTTGCAACCACTGCACTGACTGGACATAATGCATCCACCCAACACTGCTTGAAGCCCAACAGGAGATACAAAATCTTCCTGCCCAAAGTCTCCAGCCGAACCTGACGTAGATGGTCCACACAGTGGAGGATGACTCAGGGCTGGAGAGGGCTGAGGGAAGAGAAAGGCTCCTGGTTTATGACTTAAACAGCTGTGGAGAAGGACCAAAATATCCCCTTAAGTGTACAGTGTTATGATGACTCTCTCCCATCTCCAATGGACTTAGGTGTTGGAATAAGAAATACCCTAGCAAACCTATGGCCAGATGAGATTCACAATATAAATTGCATTAAACCAAATTCAAATACACAGGATAAATGCAGAAAATTTTATGATCTTTTCCTCCTCCTACAGGTCCCAACTACTTATGTTTCAAAATGATCTAAAATGGTGCCATCTCAAACTCTGAGCAACCTCCCTCATCCTGTATGTAGTTTTAAAAACTGCCATTTCTTTTTTAGACTTGAAGAAGATTTGGAAGAAACCTGGAAACTGATTTTTACAACTACACAAGTTGACCTGATAGAAGAAGATAACTATCTCCAGGTACAAGCTTTTCCCAGATTTCCCAGAGCTATGAGGCAGAATTCAAGACATTGTTGCCTGAAGTGACTGAAAGATCTACACTGGTTTTCATTGTGGTTCAGAGCTAAACTCCAAAGGTGACGGAGGCATCTTAACAAGAGGTTTTCTTTACTCTGTGTAATAATATACCAGCTGCGAGCCTGGTGTACTCCCAGCCTGTCTGCTAGACCTGGTTCCCAACCATTCAAAACACACTGAGGTTCCATTACTGCTCCCGAACCCAGATGCCTTCTCAAAGGAAACCAGGTCCTCAGTGGAGACATACTGTGATGCACCCACACCACACAGGCACCACGAGGCAAGGGCTCGGACACTGGAAATTGCACCCCAGCATGACTACCCCACAGTAGAGACATAACTAAAGTGAATCTGACTTAACATGAAACTCCTATATAATTAGAAGGAATCAGCAGAGTCAATGGCGGGGGAAAAAAAAGAGGGAGGGGAAAAGTTTGGGGCGGGATCTACCATCAAAACAAAACCAAAACATTAACTCAGCATATCAGCTTCACAACATGTTAACAAAATAAGTACTTGTTCAAACACCTGCACTGATTAAAAGAGAAGGAACATACTGAAACTGATTTGGTTTTGAAATTCAGTTCATTTGGCACACCCTCCACTTCTGAAAGAAAACAAACAGCAAACAGAGACAAGCCATAGCGTGAGCAGCCATGCACTCTCCTGCCCACCTGCTTCAGCCCAACTCAGAGGAACATACCTGGCTATACCAGCTAAGTTTCATCTTTAAACATGGTCCTCAGCCTGTCCATTAAAATGGTTAATAGCAATGCCAGCTGAGAAACATCCATCACTGGAAACTCACTTTCACAGGTCATTGGTTAGCCAGACAACAAGAGCTTCTAGCCATTACTGACCTCACTTTGACATGAACTGCTGATTTCCAGGAAAAAGATGAGCCATGAGCTACCCACTTTCCTAATCATAATTAATCCAAAACCAAAACCATTCATCTGTTTCTGTAAGATTTCGTTCATACAAAATATAAACATGCAATCATAGAATCACAGAATCATAGAATCAGAGAACCATAGAATCATAGAATGGTTAGGGTTGGAAAGGACCTTAAGATCATCTAGCTCCAACCCCTCCTGCCGCAGGCAGGAACACCTCACACTAAACCATCTCACCCAAGGCCTCGTCCAACCAGGTCTTGAACATTGCCAGGGATGGAGCATTCACAACTTCCCTGGGCAACCCATTCCAGTGCCTCACCACCCTAACAGGAAAGAATTTCCTTTTTATATCCAATCTAAACTTTCCCTGTTTAAGTTTTAACCTGTTACCCCTTGTCATATCAATACAGTCCCTAATGAAGAGTCCCTCTCCAGCATCCCTATAGCCCCCCTTCAGACACTGGAAGGCTGCTATGAGGTCTCCACACAGCCTTCTCTTCTCCAGGCTGAACAGCCCCAACTTCCTCAGCCTATCTTCATACGAGAGGTGCTCCAGTCCCCTGATCATCCTCATGGCCCTACATCCTTTCCTACAGTGGGTCCAAGGTCTTCATTCCCACAGTCCCTACATCAGCCTTCCAAGACTTGGGTTGTTTGGTCAGAGCCTTTGCCAGTGAAGACCGAGGCAAAGAAGTCATTCAGAACCTCAGCCTTCTCCAAATCCTGGGTAGCCAGTTCTTCCGAGAGCTTCCTGAGGGGGCCTACATTCTCCCGAGTCTGTTTTTTATTTGCTATCTACCTGTAGAATCCCTTCCCGTTATCTTTAATACCTCTAGCTAAGTTTAATTCTAACTGGGCCTTAGCTTTCCTAACCTGGTCCCTAGCTTCCCGGACAACATCCCTGTACTCTTCCCATGCCACCTGTCCTTGCTTCCACTTATTATAAGCCTCTTTTTTCATGTGAATATTCCTCAGGAGCTCCTTATCCATCCAAGGAGGTCTCCTGCAAAGATCATCCTGCAAAGTTTCTGGAATGTGAACACTAACTTCATAAGAATCTGAATGCATTCAGTTCATTTACTGAGGCAGGGAGTACCTTATTAGAAGTAGGTGCTGTTGAACAGAAATTCACATCAGAACAGTCTGGATAACAAAACATTCTGCTGCATTGATCCCCAAGTAAGCTGACAAAACAGACGCACACAGGTGTGCCTTATGATGGAAAAACTAACTGTGATAAAGAAAAGAATAAAATGTCTTTTAAGTATGTTCCATTCTCAAAGTCATTAAGATGCAAAAGTAATTATAAAAAATGCCATCTCCATACAGCTCAAGCACACAAGAGAAAAAGAACACAAACCTGCCTGGCTGTTTGCAGTAGTGTCTGCTTTAATGGCTCTGGCAAAATTGTCTTCCTTAGCTGATCAGTCCTGCTACCACTGTAACACTCAGAGCAATGATACAGATAGATCTGGGTTTTTTAAGAAAAATGGAGCAAACCCAGCATAACACACACCAAAAAAGCATACAAACAGTTCTCTTCTCTTACAAGCGTTTTAAATACTTGCCATTTGCAAAGTTTCTCAATCAGCGAGACAGACTGCATCATGTTTGACTCCAGTAAAATGTCTCCTGAGAATGTCTGCCTTGATCTAAAATTCTTATACTTGGGTTTTAATTTCCATTCATATTTACAGGAATCTGCTTCCTTCAATTTCTTAATTGAGACTGCACAGCTTGAAATATGCCCACCAGCTATTATATAACTGCAAATCTACTTGTATAAGAGATACACATTCTCAGGCTTCAGAAAATAATTAAGCATTCCAGATGTTCCTGCAGTTTCCTGAGGAGCAGATGTCAATGACCAACACCAACAATCAAGACCACTGGTCACACCCATTCTCACAGCTCCCGTTCCTCGATGTCACAGTGATTCACAGAATTGCTCCCACAGTAACCATCAAGATACACGGAAGTTACACAACAAACCCACAACTGGCTGTGTGTGTCCGGTTTCCACTCTGAGCTAATCTTCTACTCACCAGGTTCTCGGTCCTTAGTGGATATGCACTCTTTTATAGACTCTGTTATGCCAAGACTAGCTGCAGTGGGGAGTGGGCCAAGCAAGGATTCCAGTGCAGGTGGTCTTACAAGAATTTCATTTCCATTTGTGCATTTCTCATCTTCATTTTTTCTTACTCTATCATTCTCATGAAGTTCATTATAGAAGTCCTTGTTTAAGTGATTAGCAGCTGCTTCTAGTTCCTCATCTTCAGCCTCCTCCTCTGCAAGAGTACTAGAGGTATTATCTTCTATAGAATCTGTAAGGAAAAGAAAAACAAACAAATCAACAGATCATACCATCTGTTACAGAAAATAAAGGGAGGTGCTCACATAAAGAATAAAAACTTTTAGAGAAAATCTATAAAAGAAATACACAATATTTTTGTACAATGTATGAATACATGGAGTTTTCAGATACTCTTCAGATTCATTACCTTGGCTATTATTTTTGTGAATATAGTCATCATTTAAAATAGAAGTACTGTGTTATCAAATTATGGCAGGTAAAAGGGCTTTGGGAGAGAAGCCGGCCACTTACTGGTATAATTACAAATGAGCAATAGCCAGTTCAACCCGCACAAAGCCCTTCCGTATCACTTAGTCAACTGGGGGTTCAGTGACAGAAGCGTCCCAGTATTGGTCCACTGCACTCTCAGTGATGAAAAGGAACATTTTCAGATGCCAGGGCCAAGCTTATACTGCACTAAGAAAAAAACCGACTGAAATCACTAATGAATTGTCATTGCAATGAACAATGAAGCTGCTTTGAAAACCAATAAATGAACCAGCTGACTGGCAGAGAGAACCCCAATGCAGTAGAAAACTTGTACTACGCAAGCATATATATGATCACATTTATCATAATAAAGTTCATACATTTAAGACTGCCTGCAGGATCTGAACCCATTACTACTTAGCAGTCACAAGACTTTATGGACTTACCATCTCTAGTGTAATTTGCAAATACACCTTTTGCTTTTGGTCTACTGCTTTCTAATTCAATCTCTATTTCATCTTGATAGCTTGATATTTCACCTGTGGTGTTGAAATAAAAATAAAACTCAGCAATCACTGATGTAATTTTGAATAAATGAGTGATATGTTACACCAAATACAACTTATACCTTCAAAATCCTCCAGCTTTTTTGATAGTGCCTTCTCAAGCTGAAATGAAAATAAACAAACATGAAATTACTATAAGCCCCCACACGTTTGTACTGTTTGTAAACTCTATATAGAGACAGAGAATGGTAGGGTATTTTAAAAGCAATATGCAGGTTTTGAACCTCAACTCAAATTACTTTGTGGTATTGAAGAGGTAAGACAGACAAGTTTCAAAATACCGACCTATTTCAAATGTCATCTCACCCATCTTTATACTTCAAAAGGAACCTTCACTCTGGCAAACTGAAATAAAAGGCCCCATTCTTCAGCAGCCAGATCTATGACTGTGCCTATAGATGTAAGCAAGTGCAAGGACAGCACTGAAATCGCAGTGCCCAGGCTAGACACAGCACACAGGCAATGGCACAGTGAAGACCTACAGCAACTAGCAGACTCTTCAGAACATCATAAACAGACCTACAGACCTTTAAATGATGGCATATATGGAAAGTAAAAACAAAAACCCTAAAAAAAAAAATAAATGTAAGAACAGGGTATGATTGTAGTAAAATCTTCTCCTCTGGTGCCAGCGTTAGTTCATGCTTTGTAAAGAAATTAAGCCACATGAGAACTTATCTGTGGAAGCAGGTGTTGTACCACAGAAAAACCCAGCAGCCTCATTAAAGTAATTGGGTTATTGTCTTCATATGTGTTTTAAAAAAAGAAGTTATATGTAATGGCACTTCTCCCACAGTTACTGATCCAATTACAAATCTTATTCTTTTGCAACCCCAATCCTTGCTAACCAGGGTAGAAGGTGCATTCAGTATATAAAAGCGAAATGGACATTAGGGTATTAGGTGGATATTATAATGAGTATTAGGACAGCTACTCAAGACCTCCACACCACTAGCTCACCTGAACTTGTCACATGAGAGCCTCCTGTTTTGTGAGGATGAAAAGATTTGGTGGTTTGGTAGAAGGTCAAAGCACAAGAAGGGAAACATACAGCAGGAATGCAAGCACAAGGAGGCAACGGTGCTTAGTGTAACTGCATCAGCTTGCAAATGGGGGAGCATCTGGGCAGTGTGCTGAGCCCTCACCTAAAGTAAGTATAGTAGTCATGGGCTAAGCACCAAACACTGGTAGCTGCACAACACAGAAGCTCAGCTGGCGCTCATTTACTCGGCCACCCAGATATCCTGATCTGACTAACAAGAGCAGTGACTCTGTACTTCCCACAGCAGCTGGCTAAGACAGCAGGCATATTTCGATCCCTCATCAGGGGTATTTAAAGGTACATCTGAAGCTACAAATCTGAAAGAGCGTGCCTCCCTGGAGGAGTAAGCAAAAATTATACAGGAGAAAAACTTTCATATATATATGTGTATATATATATATAAACTGGAAGCTGTCCCTTTGTCAGTAAAACAAAAAAAAGCTTTTAGTTAATAGGTCTCATATGCACTAACGCTAACCCTTCTCTCAAGAACCTCAAAATATATGTAACTAAGCCTTATCAAAGGCTGGTCGGTTAGGAATTAGAATATACTGATTCAAAAAGGAATATACATATGTAGAAGAGAGGAGAGAGGTAGAAGAGAGGAGAGAGCATCCGGTTCAGAATTCACCTGCTGTATCTTCAGTTTTTTTTGACCAGCTGTAAATGAAGGAGGATCACATTCTCCTTCCAAGTCAATCTTCATAAACTCATCTATGGTTAACTGACTTGTTGGTGTATCTTCAAACTCTGTCAACCTACCAAAGCATACAACACATTACTATGACAACTTTATGAACACTTTTAAAAGCAATAAAATTTGTTAAACTGCTAAGTTACAGAATAAACATGTCATCCTGAGAAACTCTGGCTCAAATACAGACTACATTAAAACTGAAGTGATACTACTTGTTTCATCTGCTGCAACAAAAGTCTCTTTTCATATCACAAATTAGCTTTTGATTTATTAACAGTATGTTACACACTTTTTTTTTGACTAAGACTGGTCAGAAATACTGCAACCCCTATGGTCAATTAAGCATAGACTGACAAAACCAAGACAAGAAATGCAGCTCATTTCTCCTATCTTGCTGCTTTTGTTATCAACAGCAACAATGAAACAGATTCACAAACTAAAATATCTGCCATCATAGTTTAGGAGTATGCTAAAAATTACTGCTTGTATGTTAGCATGAGTAATTTATGCTAAGCAAATGTTAAGGTAACGTATCTTCAGCAGACTAGAAGAGGGACAAGAATTAACCTTCCCAGGACACACAGAAGCAGTAGTAAAATAAAGGGATCATTCGCACATAGCACAAATAGAACAGATGAATGTGTATAGTTTACAATAATACACTTTGCATTTATTTAATGTTCACATGTTAAAAGTTCCTACCTATGGGAGAGAGAGGACTAGCTCCACAGGGAATTGCCATGAAAGCAGTTGAGTCTTTCAAAGGAACAGAATCTTAAATGAGATCACATTGTCATAACTTCATCCACAAATTCCAGCATTTTATACAGGTGGTTAACAATGAACACATCCATTTTACAGATGGAGAAAGTGAAACAAAAGGTTAAGCACAAAGCCAGATCAGGAAATATCTGGCAGAATGCTGTTCTGACAGAAAGTGCCCTTTTAATAATATCAACATTTTCCATGGGAAAACAGCAATGATTGGTCTGCAGCTGCTTCACTGAAATATTCCCATCTTCCAGAGGAAGCAAAGCTGACAACAGCTTCCATCTGCAAAGCTAGGAAACTGAAAAGGGTGATTCAGTACTTCCATCACAGGACCTTCCAGCATTTCTCCCCCTGCAAAATGCGGTCACGGTTTTCTCCTCTACCTCTAATTGCAAACAAAGCTCCTTCCAAAGAAGAAACTTTCTCTAGGACAGAAATCTAGCCTCCAAACAACTCTAGGGACAAACTCAAGAGCCCAGGGCCACACTCTCTCCTTGTATCCTCATCAGTACCTTTATTCCCTTTTTTGTAAACTGAGGAGTAAGGCAAGACATCTCCCTGCAAAGGGATGCAGGCATGCTGTAACTTCAGGACACTTTTCCTGGAACCACCCTGTTCCCAGAGCACAGGCTACAGGCCCACAAAACACACAAGGAGACACAGGCACCTCTATGTAAAACCAACAACAAACAGCACACTGCGCCCACTCATGGCTATGCCAACCAGAATTAGCACTGCTGAGAAGAAAGCCTCTGAAACCTAGTCTCACTTTTGGAGTTCAGGCATCTCCACAAAGCCCCAATTAGCCATGCATTTGAGAGTGACTGACAGCCCAAATCCTTCTCTCAGAGTACCAGGGACCAGCTCCCTCCTCCTCTTTCAGATCAAACTGGAAAGGAGAAGAGGATGCTGTTCGTGGCAGCAGCACCCAGCTTTTAACTAACAGACTAGAAATTCTTCCCAGTGTTAACGGGCTTCCAGCGTGCATTACCCACCTTCCAGGAGGGAGCCTCATCTATCAGTCTAGAAGGAAAACCTGGCTAGGGCACTGTTATTTTAATTCAGGATTTACTTAATGCCAAACCTATGTATTACTTTAGGAGCATGCATCTTCTCAGTCACCATCATTAAACTACAGGTCAACCATCTCTCCCTGGTATGAATCATGCAATCACACGTAGCTCAGCAAGACTTTTCCTCCCACCCAGCCTCGCCTCGTTACAGTATTATTCTCCTCCCACTGTAAAAAGCCAACATGCACTTTGGCAAAGTCACCCAGTTTGTTTATCCCACGCTTATCGAGTCTGAGATGAGCAGCCAGACTCCGAATCCAGCCAAAATGGCACAACCCGGACATGTGGAACTAGCAGCAAAACCAGTTGCTCATGAAGCAAGGCTGGGGACAAGATGACCATGCCTGGGGTTCAGCACCTAACCCCATGCACGTCTCCTCAAAGACGTGATGGACCCGAGGCTCTGTCTGCCCCTATCCTTGCCCACTGTGTCGTGTGGCTCATGTCACATACTCTGCACCCATCAGACGTTCGTTATCCCACATGTGAGCCAACGTGCAGGTAGCTAGTATGATCTGCAACTCAAGGACCAGCTTCAGCCCTGAGCTAAACCAGCAGCACAAGTCTCTCCCAAGGCCTTCAGAGCATCCTCACCAGGACAGGCACAGCTATGTCATGTTTGCTAGTGGTGCTTCCAGGGAGCTCAAACCAACAGCACAGCACAGTTCAACCATCCACCCTGGCCACAAGTATTCAGTCCTGTGCCCATGCCCATGCCCATGCCCGCTTCTTCCTCAGTCCTCAGCCAAGCCAAACGGGGGTGAGGGCTGCATGCCCACGGTGAGGGCTGCCAGCGTAATGCTGTACGCACAGGCCAGTGGCAAGCTCACATTTAGAGCAGCACATTATTTATTCACTTCTCACTGGTCTTACCCACAAAGCTCAAACCATGCTCCAGAAATGAAAGACCATCCCTGAGTCAGGATCACAGCTCTGTGGGAAAACGAGCTGTTCACTCCTTTTTCTCCTTTAACTTGATATAAATAAATACCTGTGTTTGCCAACCACTTGCCTGCCTCAACATTTTACATTGGCTGATATTCTGTCTATGCATTTTAAAACATTTCTTTAACTTTATGCAGTGTTTGGACACATGCCACCAAGACAACAAACTGATGCACGCAGCAGTCTACACCGCACAAAACAAGGTAGTAGTAGTTCAGCAGCTAAGAAAAACCGACGCAACCTCAATTATAAACACAATAATTTCACAGGCGAGGGAGTGCCCTCATGAAAAAAATAGCTATGGGCTATTTTTCAAGTCGTCCCCCAACCCCCCCCCCCCCCAAAATGATACTTGCTTTGCACTTTTGTTGATCTAAAAAAATCTAGTAAGAGTTGCCATTTCAAGTTTTGCACAGAAGGAGGAAAATAAACAGATACCCAAATTAAGATATTACATCCTTGGCACAAATTCAAAAGGGCTCTAAAAGTTGAAATTTGGCAGACAAGTATTTTCTATTTATAGTCAAAGCAGAACAACTGCTACAGCTCAGGCTAAAATTCAGCTTCCAGTATAAACCCTCCTCTTACAGTTTCTCACAGCAAACTCTTTCAAGCAAATTCCTTTGGGAGAAAAGTTTTTCCAGAGCTTGATGTCATCTGCCCCTAACCCCAACCCTTTATTTTTTTAATAAAGAAAAATTTCCACGGCTTTTATTTCATCCGTTTATGGACAAAACCACACCTCACCATCTGATAAAGCACTTTTGTGTACAAAACAGTAAAGGGATTCTGTTCACACTTAATTTAGCTCCCAATAAGGGAAAATGGGTCAGTCATTTTGAAGTTCCGAGCAATGGTTTTTTTACTTGGTTTTGTTTCAGGGATACCATCCAGTGAAGACTTATGAATCCAGTCTACAGCCAAGGGAATAAAAAAGACTCCTGTGTGCAGCTAGCTGCTCGGGTTTAATGTTTTAATTGAAATTCTGCAGCAGTGGGACGTGACAAAGCACGTAGAAGAACAAGGTCTTCTGGAGCCCAACTCACAAACGCTTCTGGAATCCAAGTTCAAAGTCCAAGAGGGACTTCTAAGAAGACCATTTAGGAAAAGCCACAGCATCCTCCTATGTATACACAATCAGCATCCAGCTCTAGAAAGCAGGCAGCATAAAGCAGAGGTATCTTGTGCTGGACCTCTGTAGAGAAGGGCAAACAAATTATAACTTCAGAGACAACTGTTTTTTTAAAGAGTGAACGTGAAATTTAGACTGAGCAGTCAGCCTTTAAGTTACCTGCTGAAAGAGGTCTTTTTAAAAGTATTAAAAATATTTTATTAATGGATTAAAAAAAGTATTAAGCTGAATATTGGCACATTGATAGCAGGAATACATGAAAAAACTTAACTGCAAGATAAGCTGGTGGTGGTAATTAAGTTCCCCTGATTTTTCCCACATTAAGAATATAATCTAAACCCTAAGTAATAAGTTACATGTTATGCACATGATCTTAACTGCCATATCAATTACAAATATTCTAGTAATAGATCAGCTGATTTGACAACTCCAACACTTGGAAACTCTGGAAAAGTGCAGGATTTATGTCTTAATGAAGTACCAAAATATTGCAGTACATTCCCACTGTGTCTAATGCTGCCCATCACTCTAAACATTTGCACTCACTCACAGGACTGAAGTTCAGAACTTGCACTGATGTGGCAGACCATTGCTGTTTCTTAAACTACAGATTTACCAGTCTATCGCATCACCCTCCTCTCCCACCTTCTTCCAAGCCATACAATGTTTACTCATGAACTACCTAGGGAAGCATGTAAGCACATACCCTGAAAGTGATACTTAGAACATGTATCAAAAACTGTTATTAAATGCTTCCTACATGACATAAAAAATGTTTTCTAATATGTAAATAAACAGAAGTGTAACCTCCTTATATGTAATAATTGTACATATATACTTTTAGACGTACTTCCAGCAATATAAAGGGTATTTTTAAAGCCTGCATGAATGAGTATCTCACTGCTAAAGCTAAGGAAAAAAATCAGAGGTGAGCCAGTTAGTGTGGTTTTACAATTTACAACTTATCACCCGGGCTGTGCTAAATTAGTCTGCCTGTGTTCCTGGCCCGATGCAACTGTAAAGAGAAGTATTTTCACTTAAACAGCTTCCATGGTGTACTATATTAATGCGTTTCATCTCTTTTTGCAATGGACTAAGAGCATACACAGTCATTTGCTGCAAATTAACTTGGTGACTAAT